AAGGTTGGGACGAAGGTGTTGCTACCATGCATCGAGGGGAGAGAGCGATCTTCACATTCCATCCCGACTTCGGCTATGGTGCCGCGGGGGCTGGCGCTGAGATACCACCAAATTCGTGGTTAAAGTTCGACGTGGAACTGCTCAGTTTCAAGCCTGGCAAGCCGTAGGCCTCATTACCCTTCGAGTTTGTGGTGCATAGTTGTGTGTTGGCAGTGATAAGTGGAGTATGTCCAAACAAGAGAAGGTCGCCGCTGCATCAGCCTGTAAGGAGAAGGGAAACGCTGCGTTCAAGGCTGGCGAGTACTACCTACCGTACTTTTATCGGGTTTATCGTGATGCGGTCAGGTACGAGGAAGCCCTGGAGCAATATAAAGAGGGAGTTGACTACTTTGAGCAGACATCGTCCTGGTCTGGTGCTGATAAGGAGGATAAGGATAAGGTCCTTCTATCGTGTTACCTCAACATGGCAAAGTAATATCAGCCAGTGGTGTGAACGGTGTTTATCATCATGCTTTGTAGTTCCTGTATGAAGTTGGCAGACTGGTACGCCGCAGTAGAGTATGGCAAGAAGGCAGTTGAACTTGACGATGTAAGACTTGATTTTCTCAAGAAGTATAATTTCCGTTCTCTCCCAGAAATCAACTAAAGCACACTTCCGTTACGGTGCTGCCTTGATGGAGATCGCCTCCTTTAAGGATGCGAAGGAGCAACTTCTCATAGCAGCAAGGGCCGAACCTCAAACCGAGAGATTCGTACTACTTTGGCGGACTGCAAGAAGAGGGCTAAGGAGGCAATGCGAGTTATATCCAGGCTTTGTTATATTCATGTTTGCCCTCAGGCGTTGGCTGAGGAGAAGACAGCATTTGGGGCGATGTTCGGTCAGAGTATCTACTCAGAGAAGGCTGATGTTGAGCTACCCCCAGTTCACGACATTGCCAAGCTCCCCAAGGCCTGGATGGATATCAAGGTAGTAGTACTCCACTACAGGAGTTACTCATGGTAGACTTGAAATAGGTCGGCACTGAGGAGCCCAAGCGTGTGTCTTTCGCCCTCTATTCCGATACGGTGCCGAAGACTGCTGAGAACTTCCTGGCGTTGTGCAGAGGTAATGTGTACAAGGCGTGGTATGTAATTATTTCCCTTCTTTATTCAGGTGACAGTGGTAAATGCCATAGTAAGCCAGAAGTGGAGCTCGCCTATAAGGGCTCTACCTTCCATCGTGTCATCAAAGGCTTCATGATGCAGGGTGGTGACTTCACCAACGGGAACGGCACTGGTAATATCCCTAGCAAGGCAGCCAGTGTGCGATTTTACTCCTTTCAGGCGGCGAGTCTATCTACGGTGAGAAGTTCCAGGATGAGGGTTTCCGTGACCATCATGTACTTTTACATTGAAGTTACTGTAGCTGTATGGTCCTACCTTCTCCTCAGACTAAGCGAGGACTTCTTTCCATGGCCAACTCTGGTCCCAATACTAACGGCTCGCAGTTCTTCGTCACTTTCGCTCCCACACCTCATCTCGATGGGAAGTAATACTCGAATGTCTGTTCTCATCTCTGATGGATCTATCAGGCATGTGGTCTTCGGTGAAGTCATTGATGGTATGGACGTGTTGGATGCTGTTGAGAACGCCCCGACTGATGCGCAGGTGAGGAGTTCAGAGTTTGTGATGGATGGCACTGTGTGTATTCAGGACAAGCCTACTGTGGATGGCGGCATTGTAATCGTCGATTGTGGAGTTGAGTAAAATCATAGAGATTACACGTTTCGAGTTCTCTCGTACTCAAGTGATGAGAAGTATGATTTCCTATTCCCAAATACACCGTTTTTATGTTACTGATGCCTTCACGTCGGCTTGCGTTGTTATGTTTACACAATCTATGCTAGCAACATCAGCCGAGTCGTGTCACTTCTATCATTTCCTTCCCGAAAGTATAAAAGCCGAACATGCCCGTCTCCGTATCGGTTGAAGTGCTCGTGGGGTACATAGCTTGGGCCCACACTTGCTAGGTCTACAGTCTCGTTCGTCCACCAAAGACAATGTAGAAAAACCTCGCATATGGTCAACTACATGTATCGGTGTTAATATGACAATTCTGTCGAAATATTGGGAAATTTCCATTGGTTTCTGTGCATTTGTACCCGAATTCGTGTATAGTCTTCCATAATTTGTGAAAAAACACCTGAGCTCAGATGAGGCCAGTGAACATATATTCCAACACAGATGTTGGGACCATTGTCGATACCTCCTGAGTATCTTCTCGACCTATAACGTTGCTAATTGCCACTCATAGGGAGATAGTACTGTCTCCATTGCCGTGCGCGACCTGTCTGTCTGATTCTGCCTCCATGCGAAATACATTGCAACGTCGCCCTCGGTGTGAGCCGTTTGTTGGAAAAGTTGCTATTTGAATGGAGGCGGGTAACTGAACTATTCTCTCAGACTTTGGACTCTGAACTTCGAATGACCTCTCGCTATTAGAGGAAAGGACCACACTCAAGCCCCGAGGCACTACACTCGCTTCTACAACTATCTGTGCAGCCTACAATAATGCTGTTGTTGCTGTCTTCAACATTTGGTATCCACAATATGGATTCCACATGTTCACTCACACGATCATGTTTTGCGCCGCGCCACTTGCGCATGCGTAGTGGACATTGCATCCAGTGTGGTTGTGTGATACGTACATAATACAACCTGTGACACAAGTCCTGTGTGATTGTCTAAGAACACCCATGATACCGTATGCTAGCCCTACGCTAGTGTCACTTCCTTTTGGAGAATCGCGGTTCAGTTGTGGAGGATGTCAGTTTCGTGCGCCAGATAGACAGTTGAGTACGTGCCAGCCGTTTCATTTTTTTGTTCCTTCTCAAGACTCTGAGATTAGATTACGAGGTTGTGAGGTTGGTCAAGCTCAGCTCCTCGTTGCTTCATAGGCCTCCCAATGCCCATGTGCATCTTGTGTGGGACGGTAATCTTGGTATTTATGATCCTATTTGTAGGAATGGCGACATCACTTTTATCGAGTTGATTCTATCAGTTGTTCTACTAGGCAGGCCACCGTTGTCGAGTCCTTGTTCAAATGTTATTGTTGGTTGTTCCAAAATTTCTATACCTCATGTGTTAGGTTATGCTAGTCGTTGCTTTTATTTGTATTTTCCTTAGGTCTTCCGTAAGTTGTCAATATGACCAACCCTAAATCTTCTCGCCCGATGGACGGTGCTGCTGCTCGTCGTATCATGTCTACGGCTTATGGCAACTCAGGCTCGGTCGAGAGTGGCTCCTTTGCTGCTCGTGCTCAGTCGGCAGCTCAGCGCAATATGAACAATGGTGTTGTGCCAGGATGGAGTGCAAGTGCCAATAGTGGCGCCTCCAAAGGCAGTGGCGGTTATATCCGTGGAAACGGCTCCAACAAGTAAAGTCTTCCTCTTCTTATTTCAAGGATGATGACGCTGATGATGATGATGAGATTTTGTCGTCGTATCTTTACATTCTGGCTGTGAGAATCCATTGTAGTCGATGCATTGATATTATTCTAGTCATTGATTTTAAAGATTCGGGTTTTGTGTTGCACACAAGTCGAGAGTTCGTAAGGGTCATGAATGTTTAACACCATGTAGTTGTATGGTTGTTCTGTAAGGGCATCGATTGAGAGATTGATATTGTCTGGGACACTACTTCCCAATCTCTAGGATCCTCGTGTTTTACCTCCGGTGAAAGTCGTATGTCACTCACTTGTTTCTCTCTATCCCGAAAATAATATGAAATTAGTCTACCCTCGCTGCTTATTGGCCGATATAGCTGTGTAACGAGGCAAATCTCCGTGGTCCGTAGCTGACCTGCACGCATGTGCATCTTTAGAGGTCACCCTGCTACGTTACGCGGCGGCCGAAGGATGAGCCTACGCGCTGAAGTCTCTAACGACCTTAAGGGAGTAGTTTCAAGCCACCCGCCTGCCAGGGCGGGACGTGAACTGCGGACTTCCTTCTCTCGTCGTCCCTCTCCCTCCTGAGTAATCCGTTGCCCATAGTTTGGGTATTGCTTACGGACCTTTGGAAGAATTTCATGCTCTACCCTCGCTGGTTATGGTCATGCTTTGCGCATGCATGGTAGACATTGCGCCAAATGTGGTTGTGTGATAAGTACATAATACAACCTGTGTGATTGTGCAAGGCCCACGTGACACAGCGAGGTGGCGCATTCTAGTCCTACGCTAGAGCCCTCAAGTTGTGGAGAATCGCTGCTCATATGAGAACTATCTTGGTCGTGTGCGACAGATAGACAGTTGGGCGCGTGGCAGTCGATTCATTTTTCTCTTTCATCTTTTGTATGCGTCTCAATGCCACTGTATCAGTGGGATCATCCCGGTAGTCATATTATGAATACTGCTCATACTATGATTTTCATAGTGGTATCTATAGCAATGTTGACATCACTTGCATCGTTAATTCCAGCAGTTGGTCAACTAGATAGGCTACCGTTGGTGAGGCCTGCATTCATGATGTGCATTTTGGTGATTATTATTGTCCTCTTATAGAATAGTTCGTCCTTGAGGTTGCTGCTCTCAGGTTATTGTTGGTTGTTGCAACGTTTCTCTACCTCATGCGTTTAGTTATACCTAACGCTTCTGTTATTCGCGTTTTCCTTAGGTCTTCCGTGAGTTGTCAATATGACCAACCCTAAATCTTCTCGCCCGATGGATGGTGCTGCTGCTCGTCGTATCATGTCTACGGCTTATGGCAACTCAGGCTCGGTCGAGAGTGGCTCCTTTGCTGCTCGTGCTCAGTCGGCAGCTCAGCGCAATATGAACAATGGTGTTGTGCCAGGATGGAGTGCGAGTGCCAATAGTGGCGCCTCCAAAGGCAGTGGCGGTTATATCCGTGGCAGCGGCTCCAACAATTCTTATTTCAACGATGATGACGCTGATGATGATGAGAGTTTGTCGTCGTATCTTTACATTCTGGCTGTGAGAATCCATTGTAGTCGATGCATTGATATTATTCTAGTCATTGATTTTAAAGAGTGGGGTTTTGTGTTGCACCCAACTCGAGGGTTCGTAAGGTTCAAATGCGTAACACGATGTAGTTGTATGGTTGCTCTGTAAGGGCATCGATTGAGAGATTGATATTGTCCGGGACACTACTTCCTTCGATTTAGTTACAAATCTGAAATTAAAATTCGTCGCATGTCTCACGAGTGTTAAGGTGCGCCGCTCCTCTCTGTTCGTTGTGAGGATCAGCGGCCGTGTGATTAAGGAACTGCTCCTCGAGACGTTCCTTGAAGGGAGGATTCTTCACTGTCCCATCCTAGAGGAGCACCCTTGAAAAACGCTTCGTGAGTTATAAGACCAGTGTCATTATTCTCGTGGACGCCGTGGAACTCGAAAAAAGAATGTTCTAATCCAAGCCTACCCCATTTATATATATGGTCGCTGTATCTTGACTCTTCATCTATCAAATATCCAGCCAACAAAATACATCGAGTATTATATAGAAATTTGTCCACGGAGTGCAGTTAATACCAAGAGTATTGGCCAAAGATACACTGTTAGATTCAGTCTACAATATCACAGTCATTGCTGTCTCCAATCTCTAGGATCCTCGTGTTTTACCTCCGGTGAAAGTCGTATGTCACTCACTTGTTTTTCTCTATCCCGAAAATAATAAGAAATTAGTCCACCCTCGCTGCTTATTGGCCGATATAGCTGTGTAACGAGGCGAATCTCCGAGGTCCGTAGCCGACCTGCACGCATGTGCACCTTAAGAGGTCACTCTGCCACGTCACGCGGCGGCCAAACGATGAGCCTACGCGCTGAAGTCTCCAACGACCTTATGGGAGTAGTTTCAAGCCACCCACCTGCCAGGGCGTGACGCGAACTGCGGACTTCCTTCTCTCGTCGTCCCTATCCCTCCTGAGTACACCGTTGCCCATAGTTTGGGTATTGCTTACGGACCCTTGGACGAATTTCATGCTCCACCCTCGCTGGTTATGGTCATGCTTTGCGCATGCATGGTAGACATTGCGCCAAATGTGGTCGTGTGATAAGTACATAATACAACCTGTGTGATTGTGCAAGGCCCACGTGACACGGCGAGGTGGCGCATTCTAGTCCTACGCTAGAGCCATTACGTTGTGGAGAATCGCTTCTCATATGAGAACTATCTTGGTCGTGTGCGACAGATAGACAGTTGGGCGCGTGGCAGCCGATTCATTTTTCTCTTTCATCTTTCGTATGCATTTCAATGTCATGGTCTCATTGTATCAGTGGGATCATCCCGGAAGTCATACTATGAATACTGCTCATACTATGAATTTCATAGTGGTATCTATAGCAATGGTGACATCACTTGCATCGTTAATTCTAACAGTTGGTCAACTAGGTAGGGTACCGTTGGTGAGGCCTGCATTCATCATGTGCATTTTGGTAATTACTATTGCTCTTTTATAGAATAGTTCTTCCTTGAGGTTGCTGCTCTCAAGTTATTGTTGGTTGTTGCAACATTTCTCTACCTCATGCGTTTAGTTATACCTAACGCTTCTGTTATTCGCGTTTTCCTTAGGTCTTCCGTGAGTTGTCAATATGACCAACCCTAAATCTTCCCGCCCGATGGACGGTGCTGCTGCTCGTCGTATCATGTCTACGGCTTATGGCAACTCAGGCTCGGTCGAGAGTGGCTCCTTTGCTGCTCGTGCTCAGTCGGCAGCTCAGCGCAATATGAACAATGGTGTTGTGCCAGGATGGAGTGCGAGTGCCAATAGTGGCGCCTCCAAAGGCAGTGGCGGTTATATCCGTGGTAGCGGCTCCAACAAGTAAAGTCTCCCTATTCTTATTTCAACGATGATGACGCTGATGATGATGATGATGATGATGATGATGATGAGAGTTTGTCGTCGTATCTTTACATTCTGGCTGTGAGAATCCATTGTAGTCGATGCATTGGTATTATTCTAGTCATTGATTTAAAAGATTCGGGTTTTGTGTTGCACTCAAGTCGGAGGTATGTAGAGGTCGTAGGTTTGAAGCGATCAAGTTGTGTCTGACATTGATTGCTGTTGCCGTCAAGGGTCTTGTTTCAAGGCGTTAGGTCATTATTTTCATCAGTGCGAGGGAGGCAAAGCTCTGAAAACAGAATTATCTCATCAGAGCTCTTCCCGCATATGTAGTTGGTACAGATCAACTCCTTATTTATGGATTTACTGTAACCACCTATATTGTGTTCAGTAATATGGAGGTTTGGGTGGTTGCCACTGGTTTATCAAACCCGTGGCGCCTCTAAACTTTATCTCCTATATACAACATCCTAGTTATAACACCAGGTCAACCTCGAAGGTCAATAAACTAGGGTGTTGTGAAACCACTCAAATGGAGATAATCTAGAAGCCCTCCATAAAACTTAGAGAGAAAAAAGAAAAAATAGAACATTATAGTTGAGTTTCCAGGAACACCACGAGGAGGTCTCTGAGGTCGTTCCCATCTTACAATACCCTCTCAAACATGAAAATCTCAATACATTCGTCCTTGAACTAGCCCCATAAATGGACCTTTATTGAACTCGCAAAGTCTACAATTTTCAACCCACTAAACGCCGAGTCATGCATCGTATTTTGTCCAAAGAATGCGATTAATACCAAGATTGTGAGATCACATGAGGGGCGGTAACTTGTTCAGTTACAAATTCGAGCCGGGTATGACCTGGATCACGAGGCGGGGTCACTGGCCACCCATTATGGGTGAGTTAAATTGTTGGCTTTGACTCGTGAGCTTCCGCGTACGGCCCCTGGTTGTCGAGGCTCATTCCTCAATTTCGAGCGGCATCTACCCCTCGGTTGGACAGTTGGTCAGGAGTGTGGGAGAGGACCAAACACTGTGAGTCCCAAGTCTGACCCTCCTCAGGATCGTGGGCCGTGGGTTCACAGATTATGATTGGTCTCACTAACTATGTCATGGAACATGGCTCATGTTTCCTGATACGTCTTGGTGTCCCCCGACAAACTAAGGACAAATGAGCCCAAAAAAGTTGACATCAAAATCTCGGAACACTTGCTTGAGCTCACCCAAGAATAGTCAATCTTGCATTTCCTCAGGGTTCCCAAGTGTCAACCGCGCACGCCAAGCTCTACTCGATTTCCCTCAAGCAGCTTTCGGGCGATGTGGTATATTCAAGGTTCCTGGTTAACCTCTCTAGCACCTCGAATCAGATTGTCGCATGTTGCTCACTCCATTGGCCAGGTTCCTCGGGTGCTTGATTCATCGGGGATCACCTGCTGATTCTCTGGTTCCCATGTGGGTCTTCTGCCTCGAGGATTTATGTTATACCGTTTTCTTCTCTTAAAATTGTTCCCCTCCTTTCTTATCGCGTTCCGCTGGGTATCTCTTATAGTGTACATCTCCCTAGTTCCTTTTAACCCTGTGAGTGACGCCTTGCCGGAGCCTTATCGAAGCAGTAGAAGTTGGCGATGGGAGGGGAAGAGAGGCGTCTACAGTAGGCATTGCTGTTATGGAGAAGGGCATGCAAGTGGCTTTCCCCTGTGTACACCTGTTGAACCCTTTCCTCGCGAGAAGAGATGGCTTGTGGCTTTCCCGACCTCAGGCAGACTTGGAAAGGTGGCAAAATGTTGTCCGCAAAAAAGTCCGGCCTCCTTAGTAGTTGCTCAGCTCTACGACAACAACTCTCACTTCATAGGTGCATACAGTGGCATATGCTCATATGCAGCACTCTTGACATGCTCGACACTACACGTGTTGACGCGATCGGCGTAGAGTTGACGATAATTTGGTATAGGTCTCGAAGGGTTGTTGTCCGCATGTCGGCTACAGAGCATCAAGGTCAATCAGCTACTGAGAACCAGCCATTGATGGCCGCACGCCCCTATGGCGAGGGTATGCCAGCACCTATGGTCAGTCCTCTCCCTCTGAGGTGTGCATGGGCTTGTATTAGGCCTTGGGGGCAGGCGGCCCCTCTGCAACTACTATGTACCGATTGGAGTTAGCATTCTTCTTTGCTGCTTTCAGTGGGTATCCTTCCCCGGATTTTTACTAAGTCCTTGTTGGTCTTGTAGGTACTGTGTTGGCAGGGGTAGCTTCTACACTGACTACAGCCTTTACCGAGTTCGCGCCTTTCGACCTGATAGATGACATATACCTGTTGGTATTCGGTCTCATTATGCTAGTCGTTGATGCGCCGGTGAAGCCCAAAGCGGTGTGAAGGGCTGGAGAGTAATTAACATCGAATTGGTCTTTTTCAGCTGCAAAAGTACCAGGCATTTGTCAGTCGTTATGTGAAGTTCCTCACTAGGTTGACGGGCAAGGGATTTTGGTAGGTCTCAGGTTCGATACTCGGCACGGGCATTTTTGTCGTGGTAGGTACATTTTCCTGGGCATCCATGTGTTCATAGCTCTCTGGACCAACGATGTATGGCCCATCGTTGGTCTTGTCATCGGCCCTGGTATTTCACTTGCTGGGTGTGCTGGTGCATACGTTGGCATGGCTAAGACCAGAACTCTCGAGACTGTGAAAAACAACTAATGATACCACTCGCAGTTATGGTAACGAGTCTCAGGTGGCACGTAAGCTGGCGACTCAGAGCCCTGAGCAGCTGTCATTATTATATAAGAACAATGCTCTCACAGATCAAGGAGAAGGCCTCACTGCCGAGGAGTTTAACAATATCGCCCGTTAGGCCCCCGCAGGTTCGATCCCGGCAATGGTCATTTTTTCCCTCAGGGAACAGTGTGGGGATAGCATTCGCACCTGAGGACCTCAAACTTATATTGAACGCTCTTTGCGAAGGTCGACGAGGCATCACTTTGCGGGACTTGGCGATCTGGTTACAAGGTCCGAGGACGTTATTGTGAATGATGAATTTGAAGTGTGCTATCACGAATCCGTGCCTAGTTTCTCTTCTGTCGTGTACATCATCATTATGACTGCTGTTGTTGTGTTTCGGGTGGACGGAAGTTTGGAACCTAATGTTAGAGAGCTCGTTACACATGCTCGCCACCACTGTCGTGCTGGAGTACTCGTAGGTCCTCGCGGGCTGGCATGTCGCCGGTTACCGAGTTCTGGAGTGCTCTGTTCTAGTACATGTGTTTTCTATTCAATTCATCATTGCATTATAGGTCTCTGTGTGCCTGCAGTTCAGTGTCTTCTTCCTTTTGTATTTTTCCGTGTAACAGCTCGACTGTACACCACCTAATGGGTTGCCCTAATAACGACAATAATAATAACGTCCTATCCGTATGCATGGCTGACCCAGTCATTGAAGATGAGCCCAAGCCTGAGGCAGCTCCTACTTCCTCTACTAAGAAGGAAGGAGTATTCGCTCCTCAGTGGTTTCACTGTGTGTACCCTCGCAAGCCCGCTACCAGGTCCGATCCTGTCATGGTCAAGTTGCTTGCCCAAGTGCGTCGTGAGATTCTCTGTGTTATTCCCTGGCAGTTTTATATGTCAGGTGAAGGAGCTCTCGGAAGCCGAGTTCGAGGGTGAAAATTGTCTCGAGAAAATTTCTGGGAGATCACCATGGAAGTTGTCCATTCTGGCCAGCGGCGAGCAGCTTTGTGCTTTTATCGTCTACAAATTCGTCAATGAGCGTAGGGCTTTCAGCGTCGCTAAATTGGCGGTGCCCAAGACCATGCGTGGGAAAGTAAGTCGATCAGGGCTTGACCGCGCGCCACGAAACTCCAATCTTGTCTCTTTTAGGGTTTGGGTACTTTTGTGATGAAGTGGGTGAAGGAATCCTGCAAGTCAAATCCTAATGTGGACTTGGTCACTCTCTCAAGCTTGCCGGCTGCTATAAAACTCTATAAGAAAATTGGGTTTAGGAAGATTTATACGATTACTCAAAGTGAGTCGACCTAGTTTTTGTCTTAGTCGTTGATTAACTATCAGGCGATCCGGAGGAGGAACTAGTCGAAGGCCAGGTTTATATGGAAATGAACGTAAGTTTGCTACTGCAGTTTATGCGCAGTAGTAATGAAATCAGGTACGCAAGCCTGGCCAAGCCCGTCATCGCGCCTCGCATCGCCGAACTTGACTAGGGCCCTCGAGACCTCGAGAGATTGGCTACTTGTTTGTTGGAGGGAGACCTAAATTGGATACATCTATTAAGACGTTCTCCCTATTTGTTGTTTTCTACCATAACTCTGTCCGTACTGGTCTCTACTATTGTACGCTAGTAAGAACTGAACAGACGTTTCAGTTGATGCCACTCACGTTATATCGCACTCTTCTCGCCGATGCGAAAGATAAGCACCCGAGATCAAAGGTCATCGCCGTCGTCGTTGGTATTACCTCACGGTTGGCCAATTATAGTCGGGGAATTATAGCCCTGATCACGCTGCCCTGTTGCACAGAAACGGCTGACTTGCGTTATGAATTCACAAGGGGCTAGCCGAGGCAGTTCGCCCTTAGTAGTGATGACCGCACTTGTATTAGCACAGAAAAGCCCTCGCGACTCGTTGGTGCGCTACGACCCTCCACAAGACATCGGGGTTGCCCCTGACCCTCCGGTTGATCCTGAGGAGGATGAAGTAGTGACAATACTAGGACATGGCTTCAGTGTTGGAGGACTATATGTTGGCTTTCCACAGCTGAGTTCAAGAGTTTCCAAAGCTACATAATAGAAGAGTTTATATACGAATTAGGGTAGAAGTGTACGGAATTCCCTCCCAATTTTCATAGTGTCACCAACATATATAGTTGACTATGACGTATGCATGGTGTAGTGTAGAACCTGATCTCAGTTGGAGTATCTGGGCATTGAAGCGACCGACCCGGACAAGGCCATTGCTGATGCTATCGCGGCTCAATTGACGGAATCGGCTGAGTTGCCAGCTATGGATAGCAAGCCTACTACTAAAGATGTGAGCTCTCGTCACTGTGACTCGGTCTGTTGGGCCTACTGCTCATCTCAAGGTGTTGCATATCCTCCTACCACCACGAGAATGGTCTGAGAACGGCAGACATATCATGCAGGTGAGGATGTATATCAGCATATCTTTGGTGAATCTTCCCTGTGCATAGTACGTCAACGATCAGCCATCTACTAGGATGGATGTGATAGCTCTGCAGGAAGCCTTGGATGGTAAGCTTGTGGAAAGGCAAGCTAGAGAGATTGGGATTTGCCCGGTTCGGGAGGAGCTCTATGGTCAATGCTTTGGTGAGTCGAGATCAATCACATTGCTACTCGAAATAGACCGTAGTGGCCGTTTGGTAGACACGATACAGCTTGTTCTCAATGGTTTGGTTGTTGCGATGTGTATATCACTTTTATTGATGTTCACAGAACTCGAACTTATACTCTCTGAAGATAGTTCATCGCCTATTTACCTCTTGAATGGTGATGTCTTCTTCTTCTTCTTTTTCGAGTTGGCACTAGAGAGTAATATCAATATATAGTGGTTATTGTGATATATATAATAATATGGGTATAGATGATAATATTGATATTATTTTATACTATAATTATATGTATTATAGTCTAGTACTATTATTTTTTATATAAGTTTATCTCTATTGATGTGAATGACTGTATCCTCTCAGATGAGCTCATCAGACAAGTAACGTTGGATTGCCCAGAAAGGGGTTTGTTGCTACTGCGAATCCGCAACGAGATAAGGATGACTATCGCGGCTTACCGCACACTGTGAGTGAACCTCCCAACTTGGTGGTTTTCACAAAGTCGTGGTAGATACCACTCCTCGGTCGTTTTCGGTACTCGCAAGCAGCTTCAAGGAGAAGAAGGGAAGGAAGAGGCTGAACAGAAGGTGAGGAATAAGGCACTAAGCCGATCCTTTTCTGGGAGTATCTCTGGATTGAGCTGATGAATACTACGATGAGTTACGACCGTCCAGAAATGAAACAATGACAGTAGCACTATTCCACAGTACGTTCGTAATGGGCAGGCTTCAACCACGTGAATATTTTACGTTCGAGCTGTGGAGCTCGCATGGTAATTTAATACAATAGTTTGAGGACAGAATAGTTGAATAAGCTTGATTCTCAACTTGGTGGCATCGAGAGAAAAGTCCCTGACGTAGTGTTATTTTTTGGAGTTGCCGCGATCGTTTCCACAAACTATCATACCATGGGTTGCGACTACTCTCAGTTGGAGGAACTGAGGGAGAAAAAGAGGGCTCTGGCAGACAAGTTGGCCCAGTTGGAGCGGAGGTGTGAGGCTGTGGAGAGGAGGGAAAATGAGAGGAATAGTATTGAGGCGAAAAGGAGGAAGGAAGAGGTAAGTCGCTCATGATTGGTCGGCGAGGGTAAAGCCCCGATCAGATAGACTTTTTGGAGCACCAAGGTCAGCATTTACGGACCTTTCTGGACGGTCTGGAAAAGTGAACACGCTCAATATGTTGTTACATGTTGTTGAGTGCTGCTTGTAGCCCTCCAAGAGTGTATTGTGTTATTAACCTGTCTTTGAGGTTGCAATGGTGATTTGCAAGTAGTCATTATTATGGTATGTCCGTTGAGCGAAAGGAACTACTCCTTGCCAACGATACCATCAGGGAGTTGTCGGGCTCTACGGCGACTAACAGAAGCTATTGTCCTCACAGATAACGGAGGAACCCTATTGCGGGATCGGGATAGCGGCCTGCCTGCTCAGGATCTTCCTACATGGGTTGATACAGATCTTGTACGGCGTGGTCAAAGGGTCTTCCTCAAGTTAGGCCGACCATTGTTTTCCTCTATGATGGTATCACTTATCCTCGGGTGTAGGATCTCGAGATTTGCCGATGTTCTATTGCATAGTCCTGGCGGCTACTGTGGGGATGCACTACAGACATTCCGCCGCTTTCGTGACACTGCCATGCACATTTTATGTTGGATCTCCCATGACCTGTTCGATCATCAGTCTCCAGCCCGTAAGAGTTTATCACAAGTCCGAGCCATGCATGTAGCTGCCAGAATGCGAGTGCAAGCGTTGGGAAGGTGCTCTATAGGAGCTCCAGTTTCCCAATACGATCTAGCTATAGTTCTGCTGGCCTTCTCGGGAATGGCCGTAGATTATGTAAAGAACGAGTTCGGGTTCGCTGAGTTATCTCAACACGACATAGCGGCGTACATTCACTTGTGGCGGTATATAGGCTGGCTCCTCGGCATTCACGATGATTACAATCCTTGTGCCTCAGTGAGCCTATGTTCTGACCTGCTGGCCGACCTCTATCTTGTCTCCAATCTAGATGCTAATGAAAATGAAATCGGCGACTCCGGCCAGATTCTGTACCACTCCATTCTGAAATCGTTCGGGAAGTTTGGTATAGGCCTGGGACCTACCGTAACTCGAGCTCTTCCATGTGTTGGACTGACCAAGGCCGGTTTTACCCACCCTGCTAAGATCCCAAAGGGCGTGCGATACTTGGAGGTTTACCTGCTCATTGGCTTACTCAGTAGAAGGGTCCCTCCCAATCCCCCCACGGCGCTCCATAATTTGCCTCGAAAGCTCGGCTTGAACTCAGCTCGGGAGCCCACATGGTTGGTGATGGTATTTGAAGCATTACTGCTAGCTAAGGGTTTGATGGTGGAATATTTAACATTCCCATTGTTAGCACTGCTGTTGGGGGGAAGAGGGTCTGTGGTAGCTATGGACTATAATGAAGATGAACGCCTACGAGCCTATGAGAAGTGGCGTGGCAACTTCAGCGAGCTCGTTCTTGATGATAGGGACTATTTCTTCCCAAGTATATCATTCTATCGACCAGAGACAATTTCCAAGATATTTTTGATTCTCGATGCATCGTCGTGGATCCTTTTCCTCGGCCTTGGTATATCACTGTTCATCTATGCTGTATTCTCCTGCTATCACTACGCATTTATGAGTACCATTTCAAGTTGAGGCCATTCCGGATTTGCGCTTGTTGCGAGAAGCGAATGAGCCCACTTGTACTCAGTTTACTTTCATCATGAACATGTCCGAGTGTTCCGACTATGCTCTGCCTCGCCTCCCAGAGGGGAAGTGCCCAGCATTAAGACGTATGATGGAAGGCCACACTATTCCTGATCGCTTCGCCCATCACAATGAGCAGACTGTATCCAGCGGTGTTGAGATTCTTCCAAAATGGGTCAACAAGGATCGGGTCATTCGAGGACAAGAAGTCTTCGGAGAGCGACCTCCAGCATTCTGCTATGGTATGCTTATCAATCTTGTTCTGGGTTCCCGCATATCGCGGTTCGCGGACGTCCTCGTTCATAGTCCCGGTGGGTATACTGCTGACCTACTGCAAACCTGTCGTCGGTACAAAGACACCGTTGGGCATGTTGCCTTGTGGATGACCCCTGGTTCGGATCTATTCGATTCAACTTCGACCGCTCGCAAGAGTCTCCTCCGTGTTCGCTGTATGCACACTCAAGCAAGGGAACACATCACAGCTCTTGGTCGCTGTGACGTCGGCGTGGCGGTTTCTCAGTTTGATATGGCGCTTGCCTTATTAGCCTTTTCTGGTATGGCGGTTGATATTGTCAAGAATGACCTCAACTGTAATGCCTTGACCGAGGACGATATTGAAGCATACATCCACCTGTGTCGCTTCGTTGGTTACCTGTTGGGCCTGGAGGACGCCTACAACCCATGCAATTCGGTAGCATCTTGTTCTGAGCTTGTTGCTGATCTCCATCTCATGCTCACTCTTGATGCCTATAATTATAGCAAGGGCCCATCATCAGGTTCTGGCTATGAGCTTTTTAACGTGCTCCTGCATTCTTTCGGCTACCACCTCATTGGTCTAGGGCCAATTCTGACGCAGGCATTGCTAGCCGTTCCGGAAACCAAGGCTGCATTCAGGCACCCCCTCACTGCACCTATTCAGGTTTATAGATTTGAAATGATGATTATGAAAGGCTTCGGGCAAACCATCATCAATCATGGTGGGCCGCGGTACATCGCGCGCGCCCGCAACTTTGGCACAAATAACGTTAAGAACCCCAGTGCGTTCAGCCAGATAGTTGATCGCCTCTTTGCCGTGAGGGCATTCCTTGTCGAGCATCTCCTTATGCCCACCTTCGTCGTCTTTTTCCGAGGCATGGATCGGATCAAAACTGAACCCGATGAGGATAAGAGGATCGAAGCACACGAAAAATGGCGGAAAAATTTCCAAAATTTGATTCTGCTCCACGAAGATGAAACAATCGAGGGTGACTCCGGGCCTTCTGCGAAGACGATCTTCCTAATTTTCTTCTTCTCGGACATTTTATTGTGCATCATCGCCTTCCTCTCAATTCTCGCATTAATACAACATCTGATTGTCTATAGTATTCGTATTATTGTCCCTTAGCATGTGAGTGTCTGAGGTTATCACCGCAAGCCGTGACGGTTCGAGACGTGATTTTGTGAGTGTGTCACCTTAGTGTAGCGTTCCAGTATTCGCTGCGGCTAACTATGGCCATGATTAACCCATAATTTATTAAGGTCATTTCCAAGCCCCTCGGGCACAAAGAGAATTTCACGTATTCAATGATGACCGAACAGTTCAAGAGATCACAACAGGTCAATAGTTCCCATCAGCAGAAGCGCTGGGTATAGGGAATGCAGACAGACGAGAAGAACCCCGAATTTAGCATGGACAATAAGCGACGTGGAAATATTGACTGGACAACCGTGTGAACATGTATAACGCAGATCCCTATAATGTAGTGAGGAAACCGTCCGGATCAGCTGAGAAAATCGAACATATATTCCAATATTCTTTACTGAAACACAACAGCTAGGCCAGTGGTGGAAGCATACAAGAATAAGGTGTCGCTAAAGGGAATCCCCCCATCGTGCAGAGTTGCCAGAGTGTATTCAGCAGCAGCAGCAGACCCCTCCTCAGGTTAGGTCCACATCGTTTGCCTGATTCTCTGCGCTGGGTGCCATGATCTCCTTCACCTATTGCAAAAGTCCCTCCTATAGGAGGCCAACTAAATAGATACTACTACCTTGCATAGCATCTCAGTCTTCCACGCATCCAGTCTGGTCACGGAGTCGTATCTGCATATGAATAATCCATACCATCCCTCCCGCAAATCGTCTTACTTGTGTAGTGCATCCACGAATGCATCAACATCGTTATTCGAAAATGCCTGAGTCATATCCTGCAGCAGCTCCCCTTCGCGTGAAGTAGCCAGGCGAGGGTCCTCCGACATATACCTACACCCGAACAGTCCTCAACTACTTTCGCCCAATACTACCACCTCTCAACTGCTATACTAGCAGTAACCGGATCACCAGCACACATCCACATGATGCCAGCCTTCAGGAAATGCTCCCGAGCACCGAATTGTAGCATAGAATTATGCAACGCTTTTTCCCCTGTCAGCATGAATAAGCCCAAAATCAATGACCCCGACTGCATACCTTCCTTCTCGAATATCTTAGCAGCATCTTCGTATTTACCGACTTCGGCTGAAAGTTCAGCGACCTTCAGCATACACTGGGAATGAGGGGCCTTGCTGTATCTAGGGGTACGACTACCAAGTGAATTTATACACGGAAGTTTTATCACTCGTCCATTTCGAACATATCAGCCGCCTTCTTGTAGTAGGTCAATGCCTCCTCTGCTTTGACATCGATATCCTCCTCAGAAATCTCCGCAACTGCACGCATGCACAACTGCCAACCCCAGGCCCTACTCTGTATTACTTGTTCGTAGGATCTTCCCGCCTGCCTGGAATCGACCAGCCGAGCTGTATATCTTTACCGCATGCTCATACCTTGCGTATCACCACTGCCATCAGTCTAGTCTTCATCACCACTACCATGTGATAGCATCGTGGATTCTCTCAGCCCGTCTAAAGGCATTTCCTGCCTCCTCGTAGTAGTGAGCCTCATCAGATGCCGAGCCATACTTGCCCATCATCTCCCCTGCCCGGACCTACTCCAACTATGGCCAGCTACAGGAAGAGTAGAAGAACCCACCAGCGTTTCCCCAGCCCGATTCCAGTCCTTCAAGAGCTTGAACTGATTCGCAGCGTTCTTGTACAAATCAGCGGCCTCGTCGTAGCTTGGTCCTCCTCCGAGAAAGGAGAAAATGCCTTTCGACTGCGATACGAGACGATATGCAACGAATATCGGAGGCTCCCTTTTACGCCTTGGGCCTTCTGCTCGGCCTCTTTAATCATATCCTCAGCCTGATGAAAACTCATGATGTAAAAAGTACACTTTCCAGCAGATTTCCACCACCCCGAAACTGGCAAGAACGGAACAAAACGGTTGAAAGGGAAAATTATAATACGTGTTTGACACTAAAACTGTGAGACTGTACTACACACCGACCGCCAGTCCAGAGCCTCTAGGAGGATTTCAGAAATAAATATTACGCCTCGAAAGCAGTTGGCGCAGACCAAGACTTGTGCATCACAGAAAAAGCTTGCTTATCGAGGTCTACGGACACGATAGAAACATCTGGACGAGTGATAGCATTCCAAACTGTTGGTATGAGGATCAGCTGATTACTCACATGTGCATGCCTAAGCTTAGGAGCTGGCAGAGCAACTTGGTGGCCGTTTGACTAAGAGCTCCTGCACCTTGTGCGTGTCATCATCAGCAGGGAAATAGTTAAACGTAGCATCGCCATGGATGTTATCGCTGCTAAGCTGGTCTCCTGAAGAGCCCACTGCTGATGGTTACTGTCGGGCTCCTTTTCGGATCGATAGGATTATCATTACTTTCTCGCTCATGGACACGAATTTTCCCGCATTTGTAATCAGCGTTAAAACGCTCGTTTTTTTACCGCACTTCGATTCATAGTTTTTATCCGAGCTTGGATAACAATTTTTCCGAGAACCCAGATTCGGAAATCAGGGCACTCCATTTGGCTCCGAAACTCGGAAGAGGAGGCTCGTAACTCGACTTCTCTCGAGATGTGCCAAGAAGTGGACCCGGAATAACTGCACGCAAGTACAAGATCCGAGCTGGTATGATTCGATGATCTACGAGGGAGGGGATATGCTATCGGCAACCGACCAAACTAAGGTCAAACCTTGGATAGCGTGTGATTTCTTGGAAAGGCTGAGACCAACGACGCTTGTGCGAGTGACGTGAACATCGTTCGCAGGATGGAAACTGTGCACGCGGGTACAAATCCCACGCAGGTCATTTTTCGTAGTGCGCCGCGTATGGTATTCAACAGCAGACTATCGAGTACAGAGTTTTCCAACTTTGTTCGAATGATGATGCTCAGGCCGTCAGGAGATATCACCGACCATAGCATATCCTTGAATATTGAGGGTGCATCTCTGGTCGGCGACCGAGTAACTCGGAAAAGCCAAGTTAATTTTCCAGCCGTCACATTGCGAGCTCAGTTCAGTTCTGGAGAGAGCGTCGAAGACTCTGGAAGCTGTGATGTTTTCACCTCGACAGAATCTTCTTACAGTGTTGGTAGCAAGCGTGGTAAGTCTAGATAGAAAATGACTTGCTATAGTGGGGTCTTTTAGGCTCCCGCCATTCCCTCGATGCCATAGTGCTATGTAACGACATGGAGAAGTCCGCGCTAACACTGAGCACGGTCAGGGATATACTCCAGGGCTGGTTGGGGCGTGACAACGGTCATCGTCACTATGGTAAGGGCTTATTGAAGGTATCATATTCCACCCTACCGTTCCCCTCAGAAGTTCGAGTCATCCACTTGTGCACGATGGCCGTGGTCGTCAGTGACTCGGCCCAGTACGGCTTTGCCGACTGCGTCACGTCATGTAGCTGTTCGAATAATTTTACTAACCTCATATCGTCGTGGGAGATGCCTTTGGAGGTCCGGGTCCAGGTAAGCGCGTTAAGCATCCCCTTTTCGTGCCCAATGCGATTCTCTCAGTCTGTCGTCCCGACCGCTTCAGCCCTCGACGAAGTTCTGCACTTATCAACGAGGGTGCGTCACGTCGTTGAATTTGTACCCTTCCATGTTGACTCAAAGGTCCTGGTTACTCCCTATGCTGTTCATCACCGCTCGAGCACATCCAGACGATATTGCCATTCTAAAGTTCTTAAGTCTGTTCTACGTCAAGTGCTCACATTGGCTGACGATTTGGAACCTCCGAAAGAACAGTTTGCTATTCTCGGTATATCTGGACTGTTACTAACGATAGAAAAACTCTCCCCTCTTTAGAATCTTCGAACGGTGTTTCTGAGGAGGAACTGACGAGTCCTTTGCCCGAAGCAGAACATTACAGAGCAGTGAGAGTCCCCGGTTCGATCCCTGGGTTGGGCATTTCTTGCTCGAAATGTCAGGTTTTGCTCCTAGCAAGCGAGAAGTGGGAGCCTGTTGTCGACTGGGGCATCCGTCTCGTGAAGCCGGGTGAGAACATCAAAGTTGTTCATTTCATTCGAGGCCCCGAAGTCGCTAACCAATCCGCTGAGATGCAGCTTATGGCGCGCCGGCGTGTAGGTCTTTGGTCCCATCAACCCCCCCCAGTGTTGGTCTGCAGGCACGATTAATAGATCCTTCCATTCTTTTCGACATCCATGTTGTTCGTGTTGATCCGGGAGACTTCCTTACTAGAGTTGTGGAACTCTCAAAGAAGACTGAGTTTCTCGTTGTTGGCGATTCAGGAAGAGTTCAAACGCGCCATAGGGATATTGTGAGAGCTCTCTCTTCTCGCCCGCAACGAACGCTTGAATTTGATCAGATTCTCAAAGCGCAATGTGACGTCATTCTGGCACGAAGCGTCATCCCGCCGACTACGAGATCTATCACCAACATGGTGGTAGGCGTTGGAGCTAGAGACTCCGAAGTGAGTGCATTACTGTGGTGGCTTTCGTGAGTCATCGACCGCTGCTTAGGGTGCTATGAATGCGCTCGGATTGGCGTATCGTGTAGCAGAGATTTCCGAGGATGATGATGAAGCTGCTGTCCATGTCGCAGGGATCTTCGTAAGGTCGTATATCGACGGTCTCGTTGAGCATGTTCGATGTAGGTTCCCGTAGTGATGCACGCTGATAATATGCTGAAAGGCCAATGGCAACTTGACCGCCGAGCTGTGCTTGTTAATGGAACCTCCAGTAAATCTTCATCGACTGGCCTCTCTAAGTGACCTTCAGGTGTTGCTGTTCTACATCGTGTGGAACAGTTCGTCGCCCGTCAACAGACTGATACGGTCTCTTTCCATCTTGAGATGGAAGGCTACAGTGACAGTCTTCAAGTGGCTCATCGACTACTCCTACGTACTGCATCTGGTAGCTTGCTCGTCGTTGTCCGCCTCCTCCCTTACCTCTGTCGCTTCAGTCGAATCTGAAGAGGCCGAAGCACCACCGTTGTTATTCGTGGGTGCCGGGAGTTCATCCACTGCTGGTCAGCTGGGCAGCGTCATAGAGTACTTGACAGGGCCCAAGAGAGGTACCGCGAAGTTGAATATTATCAGTGTGACGTTGCCCCTTTTAGGGGAGCGTGCCATTCACTCCACCACAGTCGCTATTGCTAAACTCAGGCGCTGCGGCATTCCCTATCATAAACAGCAAGTTGAAGCTTTTGTCACGAAAGTGACTTGGAACACGTCGACCGAAACTTTTGTATGATATATCAGTTCAAGTTTTCTCGCATTTCTTTAGTGAACGCTGTCATCAGCCCGGATATATTTCCAAGTTTTTCGCAGATTGTACAGACCATACCCCAGAAGATGTAATTTCTCGCTTTCTCTGTTACACTGATCGTTGCTGAAGGACCTTCAATTTTTCTACTATAATCTCGGGTTTCTTTTGTTCGGCATAAAACATTGTGGTCACCTTGAAGAGCATTTGCGGAAGTGCACTACCCGCGAACAACACTTGAGTGTAACTCTTAATGATCAAGAGGCAGAACTATCATATCGACAACAGTTTTATGTAAGGATATCATAGTTGACGAGACTTGACTCGTTAGGGCATGGAAGTGGGACCAACGACGTCGCATGGAGATAGTGAGTTCAATCCTGCATTATCGATGCCAGTGGAGCGCTATCCCACAACGGCCAGGTCAGAAATCTTGAGAGGCCTGCGTTCCTCAACAACGCAACATGGGGAGGTGACCATGAACGTTTCGGGACGCAGTGCAGAAGGTCACTGACATCATCGACCTCTACAGCTTCTCTCAAGCTCTCCCACTGGATCATCTGATCAGCCTGATACTTCGGGCATTTCACACACCACTTATAGGCAGCTCTACCTTCGCCGCGACAGTTCTTCCCCAGGGAATTTGTAGCACTGTGCTGATGAAGTGACTCGCTACTACCATCGAATTTGCTTCAACGGTTTGTTGAGCTACCGACTGAACACAACAAGTTATCACCATTCAACAAAACAATCTCGCATTTGAAGTGTGATATTATACGGAGCAGCTTGAAATTGCGAGGCTCTATCTCTGCCCTAGTTTAGTGATCTAGTTTTGGGCCAAATTTCCACCCAACATAGAAACTTCCTTCATCTCTACCGTCCATTGTTGGCAGAGAAAGTACCCGTGGAGAGGCTGAGGCAAGGTCAAGGTTCAACAGCATAGAAGACAACATAAGTATCGAACACAGAGGGAGCTACGCCGAGTGCCACAGTCTAGACGATTCCTTACATGCGCACGACTGGTGGGACTGTTGAAGTTCTCTCTTTGATTATCGCTTGGCATGATTCTGACAACTTCTGAGACAATACCATCTCTCTCTGAACGAACGTCTAATCCAGTTCTGAGCTGACCTTGAGGTTTCCAGCCTCGATGGGAGTGAGCTCCACTAGAGCTCCTTCGATGTAAGCAACGATACACAAGTCTGGAGGAGAACTGACAGCCAACTGGAGGCCTGACGATATAGGCCAGAGCCGGTAGCGACAGGAGCGTACCAACGACACGACTGCTGACTGTCGAGGAGACCAACAACGATTTGTTCTTCACTCCCTGAGGCAGGTTCTTATGGGAACCGAGTCGTCTGCATAGGTATACCTTATATGACAAGACTATGACTGACCAGTACAGGCACTCACTCTTCCAGGAAGCTCCACAAGGACTTCGATGCGGGAACCCCTGTTGAAAGATATAACTAGGCTGGTCAAGTCTCCAGTGATTATATCAATAACTAGCAGTAATAGTGTAGTTAAGATCATGATGATCTCGAAGGTGTTGAGGGGGGAGGCAGCATCCTAGCAAGATTATGGGAGAACTAGTGAACAAAAGCTTTGCATACCCACGCATGCATCAGCTCGATGATACATAGTACTAGGATGATCCACCGCAAGGGAGCTGATGAGGCTCGTTGGAGACGGTAACTATGGGACTTGCAGTAGGGCGTACTTAGTATGTTGCTGGCTTGAACTCACTAATAACAATTGTTGCCTTTTACACTTGATAGTAAGCCCAAGAAGAAACAGAGAATGGGCCCCCATTGAAACGCCGCCGCAGAGCTGAAAGCCAAGAGTTGCTAGAGTGGGGATGGCTGCTATTTGAATGACATTGTTAAGTAAGTCGCTGAAGCCGAGACGAGGCGGGCGGTGAATAGCAATGGTGCCTGTTGAAGTGATGCAACAGAGTTACCGTTTCCACGAGTCTTCTTGCTACCATCACCATCGCCGCACTATGACTACCGCGGACGTATCGAACAGGTGTATCGACGAGCTGAGGGGATGCGCACTACCGGAAGTGGGGTGAAGCAAAGCTTGTACCGCGGCCTTCAGACTTTGTAGGAAGATCTCATGTTGTTTGGGAGGCATCAGCTGCCCTTTTTTCTGACTCACTTGAGCGGACCACTCGGTATGCTTCCGTTCCATGAGACTCGTGAAATACCAAGACCCTTGAAACGGTAGCGACAGTGAAGCTTCCGCACTGTTGCCAGCCATACTCATTGGAAGGATAGTCGCTTTGAAGTAGAAAGGATCAGATGCTATCTCTGACATGCTCAGCGTGTTGATCCCGATGGGCGAAGTTACACCTGCCTCGAGCGGTGACAGGTGGCCTGATGATTCGGGGGAGTACCCTTAGCAGCGAGTCGGGGTATTCCAAGATTCCGCGCAGTAGCGGCTTTCAAGTCAATGAGAGTGAAATCAGTCCAAGGATGGTCACAGGCGAGTGTTATCTTCCCTGTGATGGGATGCCGCTTGAACTTATACAAAAAGTAGTCCTTAGGTAGGTACACATATCTGACTGGTGTAAACGCGCACGCTAGCTCTTGCACGCCTCACGTAAGAGGTAGCTCTGATGGAAGTGTGCCTCGAACCTTTTCAATGATTTCCCGCTCAGGAGCTACTCTAGCTGCCTGAGGATAGACTATGAATGACAAGAGTGGGTGGCAGTGACCTCAGGGTCGATAGAACTGCGTCGGCCTGGTTGTGATGTGAGACCGTAGCGTTGCTCGTAATCTCGTCTGGTGCTCACTCGGCCCTACAGTGTGTACACTTTCCCGCTCGACATCCAAATAAAGTGCTGACTTTTTCGGCGAAAGTTTCATACCAAGGACGGCGTTTTGCTGCATCGCGTACATGAGCAGAACTACAGTCAGCTGACGGTGGCGGGACTAGTTGCTTTCTATGGGGAGCCAGTCGCAATGACATGCGGCAATCATAAAAGGCACTTGAAGAGCTGTCAGTTCACCAGCTGTGATGTTAGTAGTCGAGACACTCGTATGAATTCAACCTTCCCAGTTGAAGACTACTCACGAGCAGAAGAGACACAAAACAACAGATACGCTTACTTGTTGAATCTTACAAAGACACAATAGAAACTATGACGATATAGGTGAAAATAGAGTGAACACATTCGACTTCATTCTAGAGTGAGCCAGTCAGTATCTTCAGCCAGATACTGTTCCATTCAAAGTTTTTAAACTGACAGGGCACCAATGACATGAACCATATGAACATTTTAACAGCGTTGATGAGTCATCAATGATGACACCAACTTGGTGTCGACAGACACCAGTCGAGTTTTTAATGGACTGATTCAACGCGCCCCATCAAATCTCATCGTATACTTCAAAATACCTTGCCCTCACTAGACAATAGGCTCATGCATATGCATGACGTTTCGCTGATCAAAGTGTATGAACTGAGTTCATTTTCGATAGCGCTCTGAACTCATCTATCCTCTGTCGATTGATTTCTTCCCTAGCATAATAGAATCAATGTCTCAGTCGGTGCACCTTTCACCTAAAGCACCAACATCGGAAGTCAGACAGTTGATCACGTAAAATCTATGACCCTTACGGAACTTCGACTCTTGTATTGAACAAAACTCCAATCTTTTAAATCAATGACTAGAATAATACCAATGCATCGACTACAATGGATTCTCACACCCAGGATGGAAGGATACGATGACAAACTCTCATCATCATCATCATCATCATCATCATCATCGTTGAAATAAGAAGAGGAAGACTTTACTTGTTGGAGCCGCTGCCACGGATATAACCGCCACTGCCTTTGGAGGCGCCACTATTGGCACTTGCACTCCATCCTGGCACAACACCATTGTTCATATTGCGCTGAGCTGCCGACTGAGCACGAGCAGCAAAGGAGCCACTCTCGACCGAGCCTGAGTTGCCATAAGCCGTAGACATGATACGACGAGCAGCAGCACCGTCCATCGGGCGGGAAGATTTAGGGTTGGTCATATTGACAACTCACGGAAGACCTGAGGAAAATGCGAAAGACGGAAGCGCTAGGTATAACTAAACAACGCATGAGGTAGAGAAATGTTGCAACAACCAACAATAACTTGAGAGCAGCAACCTCAAGGAAGAACTATTCTATAAGACAGCAATAGTAATTACCAAAATGCACATGATGAATGCAGGCCTCACCAACGGTACCCTACCTAGTTGACCAACTGTTAGAATTATACCACTATGAAAATCATAGTATGAGCAGTATTCATAGTATGACTACCGGGATGATCCCACTGATACAATGAGACCATGACATTGGAATGCATACAAAAGATGGAAGAGAAAAATGAATCGGCTGCCACGCGCCCAACTGTCTATCTGTCGCACACGACCAAGATAGTTCCCATATGAGCAGCGATTCTCCACAACTTAATGGCTCTAGCGTAGGACTAGAATGCGCCACCTCGCTGTGTCCCGTGGGCCTTGCACAATCACACAGGTTGTATTATGTCCTTATCACACAACCACATTTGGCGCAATGTCTACTATGTATGCGCAAAGCATGACCATAACCAGCGAGGGTGGGGCATGAAATTCTTCCAAGGGTCCGTAAGCAGACCCAAACTATGGGCAACGGATTACTCAGGAGGGAGAGGGACGACGAGAGAAGGAAGTCCGCAGTTCACGTCCCGCCCTGGCAGGTGGGTGGCTTAAAACTACTCCCATAAGGTCGTTAGAGACTTCAGCGCGTAGGCTCATCCTCCGGCCGCCGCGTAACATAGCAGGGTGACCTCTAAAGATGCACATGCGTGCAGGTCAGCTACGGACCTCGGAGATTCGCCTCGTTACACAGCTATATCGGCCAATAAGCAGCGAGGGTAAACTAATTTCTTATTATTTTCGGGATAGAGAAAAACATGTGAGTGACATGCGACTTTCACCGGAGGTAAAACACGAGGATCCTAGAGATTGGAGACAGTAATGACTGTGATATTGTAGACTGAATTATTGTAGACTGAATCTAACAGTGTATCTTTGGCCAATACTCTTGGCATTGACTGCACTCCCTGAACACATTTCTATGTAATACTCGATGTATTTTGCTAACTGGATATTGGATAGATGAAGAGTTCATCTACAACAACCATATATATAGATGGGGAAGGCTTGGATTAGATCATTCTTTTTTCGAGCTTCACGTCCCCAACGAGAATAATGACACTGGTCCCTCAACTTGGAAAGCTTTTCTGAAGGGAATGCTCCTCTACGAAGGGACGGTGAAGAATCCTCCCTTCAAGTGACGCCTCGAGGAGCAGGTCCTTAATTACACGGCCGCTGATCCTCACAACAAAACAGAGAGAAGCAGCGCACCATAACACTCGTGAGACATGCAACAAAGTTTGATCTGAGACTTGTAACTAAATCGAAGGAAGTAGTGTCCCCGACAATATCAATGTCTCAATTGATGCCCTTACAGAACAACCATACAACTACATCGTGTTAAACATTCGTGACCCTTACGAACCCTCGACTTGTGTGCAACACAAAACCCGAATCTTTAAAATCAATGACTAGAATAATATCAATGCATCGACTACAATGGATTCTCACAGCCAGAATGTAAAGATACGACGACAAACTCTCATCATCATCATCATCATCGTCATCATCTTTGAAATAAGAAGAGGAAGACTTTACTTGTTGGAGCCGCTGCCACGGATATAACCGCCACTGCCTTTGGAGGCGCCACTATTAGCACTCGCACTCCATCCTGGCACAACACCATTGTTCATATTGCGCTGAGCTGCCGACTGAGCACGAGCAGCAAAGGAGCCACTCTCGACCGAGCCTGAGTTGCCATAAGCCGTAGACATGATACGACGAGCAGCGGCACCATCCATCGGGCGAGAAGATTTAGGGTTGGTCATATTGACAACTCACGGAAGACCTAAGGAAAATACAAATAAAAGCAACCACAAGCATAACTAAACACATCGGGTATAGAAACTTTGGAACAACCAACAACAACATTTGAACAAGCAGGACTCGACAACGGAGGCCTGTCTAGTACAACAACTGTTAGAATCTTTAACTCGATGCAAGTGATGTCGCCATTCCTACAAGTAGGATTATAAATACCAAGATAACCGTCCCACACAAGATGCACACGGGCATTGGGAGGGCATATGAAGCAACGAGGAGCTGAGCTTGACCAACCTCACGACCTCGTAATCTAATCTTAGAGTCTTGAGAAGGAACAAAAAAATGAAACGGCTGGCACGTACCCAACTGTCTACTGTCTATCTGTCGCACGCAACTGACATCCTCCACAACTGAGCCGCGGTTCTCGAAAAGTAAGTGACACTAGCGTAGGGCTAGCATGCGGTATCATGGGTGGTCTTGCACAATCACACAGGACCCGTGTCACAGGTTGTATTATGTACGTATCACACAACCACACTGGATGCAATGTCTACTACGCATGCGCAAGTGGCGCGGCGCAAAACATGATCGTGTGAGTGAACATGTGGAATCCATATTGTGGATACCAAATGTTGAAGACAGCAACAACAGCGTTGTTGTAGGCTGCACAGATAGTCGTAGAAGCGAGTGTAGTGCCTCGGGGCTTGAGTGTGGTCTTTGCCTGTAACAACGTCGGGACGGCTGAAGTCAGTAAGGCCGTCGGGAATGAATATTGGTTTATACGTGTGGCTCCTATGAGCGATGAAGCGAAAACACATAGGCTGATCGATTATACTAGTGGATGTCTGGGATTGGTCGAAGAAGCAGCCTTCAGCTGAACGAGGGTTAAGTTGACATATCGCAACTTACGATGTCCTGGAAACGTGGTATGGGTATTTGTTGCTTCGAAGTAGCATACTATGATTGCTCTCATAGGCATGCCCATAAGGCACCGTCCCGGTGGGACTTCACTACGTGCTTCCTCCAGTGATTACTGGTTGTGGGAAACTAGCGATTGTCGCTACGAAGTGCCAAGCGTGATGAAAGCATGCAAATCTGAGGATGACTAACATTCCATCACGTGTCGGCGTGTCGTGCGTGCTCAAAAGTAGCGGGAGAAAATGAGCGCTAAATGCGACATGGGTCTGCTGGGATCAGCCTATCTCGAACCAACATGCCTCGACGAAGCAGCTTCGTTGTTATGACTACTGCGCTCCCAAGGCAGGATCATAGAGCGAGGTGTGTAGAGCGCATTGAAACTGCCTGGAGCTTTCTTGTACTCCTCATCGAAGTCCGAATGGGAATCCCATTATGGGACCCCCTCTTCCTACGCCGTCTGACAAGGCATGAAACAGATAGTACTAGCGTTGTCCGCCGGACCTCGCTCACCGGCACAACTGGACTGCGACACGTATACTGTTCTTTGTTGGGCCCTTGTGATGCCGCATGCTGTATTTATGGTTGAGCGATGGTAGCATTTCTGATTTCAATTTTGTCTGCAATGTGATTTTGCACACATAAATACTATGCAGTGGGTTTATATATTAATCAATAAGATGCACCATGTTTCATCTCAGGAATGGATGGTAGTTGAATAGTTGAGGTCGCGGGTTCGATTCCTGGTATCTGCATTTCCGTACTAGACGAAACCGACGTCACCGCACTTACTAGACTGTGGATGCCACACGCAATCATAAAACGAATTCGTGATTACTTTGAGATAATCGCTCGCATGTTTCGTCGTTTACAATCCCCCGACGGCACACTTCACGATAACTGACGGTGCCACTTCCCAATTTAAAGAGATAATAGTCGTATCTAGAGAAAGTCGACAGAGTGCGTGAAGAATCTTTACAGGTTCATCCGCGTATCCTTGCGCGTGCGTGCAGACTGCGTCCGTAGTTGTCGCACTATTCATTGTTTTCCAATCTGCCCATGGAACAACTTGATTGCCATAAAGTCTCGGCTGACGGAGCGAGCGTTGCGGCTGAGAGGCCATGCGTGGCCTACCATGACGCTTTTAAGCTCAACCCTCCACCTGGATTCAGTGAGGGAGAGCCGCCTTGTATTGAGGCTCATCGTCCGACCACTCCACCGAGCCCGGATGGAATCTTTGGTGATGCTCTTGAAGATGCGAGTAAAGTGATGGTCGTTACCTTTCAGGTGGAATCTCTCTCGACGACCACACGGGTGTCTTTTCGGCATACCTGAGTAACTCTACTATGACGGAGTCTGATGGAGGTGACTTCAGCGATCCGATCGGCTATGGCAAATTCGATGATCCTTGTATGGTAGGAATTGTTCAGTATAATAGTTGATGGAGATCTTCATTCTCATCAGGCAATAGCATCACCTATGGATTCTTCGACGTTCCTAACTATGCCTATGCCCCTCAACCTCATCGAGGCCCTGGTCGACATCGGTGTTGAGGAAGCTGGCGCGCCGCTACCTAGCCGGTCCAGTCTTGAGCTCCTTTCGAACGCTGCCTCTACTGCTGCCAGAACCGCCGCTGGTGACACGGTTGCTACAGTCAGCCAGGAACGTGCTACTCGTGCGCTTACCCGTATGCTTGAGCGGTTTGCTGTTATCTGGGAAGACTACTGTAAGGAGTTGGTCGCTGGTGTTGACAGTCTACATCATCAGACGTCAACTATTGCTGCCACTTCAACTAAGGACGCTCCCTCATACCTCTACACCCGTGGGCACCATATCGATTATGATCTCACCTCAGCTACCTTGGGACCTCTCACTGCTACTACTGTTGAGCCACCTACACCAGAAGGGTCTCCACAAGTAGCATCCATGGAGCCTGGCCTTAGGAGGGCTAAGAGCTTCTCGACTACCACCTCGTCGTCGGCTAACAGTATATCAATGCCTTCTACTACGGTTCATGCTGCTACTCCTTTCAACACATTGCCACAGCATTTGGTCGACCCTAGAGAATGGTGTACTGTTATTCTAAGAAACATTCCCAACAAGTATGATGAAGTTATGCTTATCGAGCAGTTTAACGCCTCGGGTTTCTTTACCGACTCCCACATTCGCTACGTATACACGCCCAAGGATGCGACCAACAATTGCAATCTGGGATATGCCTTTGTTGATTTGGTCGACCATGATGTGGCCGTCAAGTTCACTTCAGTCTATGAGGGCTTCCGTCTGCCCAGTTCGAAGTCTCGTAAGGTTTGCAGTGCCAACTGGGCGAAGATGCAATCAGTGCCGATGGCGGCTACTCGGAGTGGTGGTGTCCATACTACCATCAGAAAGGATAGCCGAGTTCTCTCTGGCGGCAGGAAAGGGTCTACGACTATGGCTACTCCTCGGAGGTTTGTCACTAGAAAAAACGACAACAACTCGCGTATGTGTAGTCCGCCTGGGATGAGCTCTGTCAATGAGATCACCGTCACTGGTCTTCCCTCTCGCCATAGCCGTGGGCAGATGGTCGAGCTGTTGTCAACACGATTTGGCTCGGTGGTCTCCTGTGTGGTGGACGATAAGAATGAGTGCAAGGTCACGTTCGAGAGCTCTATTGTGGCCCTCTCTGTGAAGGAGGCTATTCTCTCAGGCACTGTGGAAGTTGACGGTCACGTCTTGAGGCTTGGTGGTAACAGCTTTGACGACGACGGTGCGGGTCTGCAGTTCAATGTTGGTCCGCTAGATGACTATCTCACTCAGTGATGAATTCAGAATCATCAGCTCATGGCGATTGCTTGTGTGGTTTTGATATCAAATTATAATGTCGTTCATTCACAGTATCGGACTCCTTGTGGTACTAGGGATGTTGTCCTCTGTGAAGTTCATCATATTGCTGCTAGTTAGATTCATCGTACTTTCGACTGTATTAAGTTGCCTTTGATGTAGTACTACTATCTTCATCATTCTACATATCATTTTGCTAATCTCAATCAACAATCATACTCATCGAAATCTTATTCCCCGTAAATTGGTGGTCATTGTCGTCTCGGTCCTGCCGTCGATGACCACCATCATTAATTTGCTTAGTATCGTCGTGTTCCTCCTCTGTACTAGCCTGGTGCTACTATTATTATAGTGATACTAGCATTAGAATCGTTGGGGATCTCAAATATCCTCAGACGGCCTATTTCTGAACTGCTATATCGGTTGTCGGTGAATTTTCTCGTAGTGCTTTTAATATTCACATATATTTTTCTTCTTTAGGAGTAGATAATGTTTCACAATCTCCATCATCAACAATCGTTATCAGGTCCTTGGTGCTCTGCCGATGCTGCAACGTTGAGTTCAGTCCTTCAATCGTCGCCAGTTTTCCTCATGTGTTCATTCGTATGACTTTCTACTCGTAATGGTTAGGCTTTCGAAGGTTCATTCAATGCAGCAGTTCTTCATTATAACGGCATGATTGGTGTATCGCTGTAGGGCAGAGCTCCTAATGCTATACGTCGCGTGAGGATTATCCTCTCGCCTTGAGTGCGGCGCGCATCAACAGGAAGGTTGATGTGAGTTTTCTCTTCGTGGTCAGGCTCGTTAGCCTTTGTATTGCACAGTTCCCGCCCATTGTCTAGTACAGCTAAAAGGTTCACAGGTCTATGGTTTATGTTAATGTATGCTCATGTTCTGCTGGATTCTCGAGAGGGAGGCTAGTGGTATGGCCCCTAGTTCTGACTGGCTCGGTCAACCGGCAGGGCTTCCTTGCAGCTTCATCTCGTTGGCGCCCCCCAGGACCTCTGAGGGTGGTTCAGCTCAGCTCTGCATGTAACTCGTTTGGATACTCACGACAAAGTGGACGACATCCTCTCGATGCACGATTGGTCAGATGCGATCGACGCATCGTGAGATATGTGGTGTCCCCGAAAATTGATTATAGGGAAAACGAGCTCGATTGGCTAGTGCGTTTGAAGAGCAGACGTCATTTCTCGAGGTTAATAAGAACCGATCTGAAGCTATATTGTGTTTCGACATAGTTGAACGTGAAGTGTAAACATTACTATGTAATGTGAAAGAAGTAACCCTTCGTGAGGAGATTAGTGTAAGGAAACCCGAAGAAGCTGAGAAGTTTTGAGCCGCGGCCAAAGGCGTGCGGAAGGCGGATGTGATAGTTTTTAAGGTACTCGATATTATGTCCATCTCAGAGACCCTCTAGACGTTATGGCTGTGTGCTCCTCGAGTTAGCGATGGTGTGCTATGTTCTCCCCTGGAGATCGTGCCTCAATATCAAGGGTCGTTTATATCGAACGCTCGTCGCGATGATGATGAGATGATGATGCTCGATTGATTGCATGACTTGGCTTGAGCCGTGTATTTATTTTAGCTGTACTGTTTGTTTGTTAATTAAAATTGTGGTGAATGAACACCTTACAAGGGAAATGTGATTCCTTTACTCGCGGAGAGAGGGCGGAGTTTAGAAGAGCGTTTTAGTTGTGATTCTTTGAATGGCAAGTGAAGGTGACCAATCGGAATTAATGGGTGTCGTTGAACCCGAGATGCTGGTGAGTAGGAGTCCTGTGGTGAGTAATTGCGTACTGAGGATTAGTCTTGAGCGCCTGGTCATCGTGGAGTGGCTATAGAAACGCGAGACCATATGATTGAGCATTGGCAGTTGGCGTCTTTCACAGTGTGGTGATCTGATATTGTGTTCAGGCAATCGACGGTGATGAACTTGATGGGAGCTTCCCGGTCAGCCTGCAGCCACGTTACGTCTTTGGTGTCCGATCTGATGTCAAAAACGGGGTGGGTGGCATCGATTGTCATACCATCTTTTTCGCCACTTTTCCTCTACAGCTAGAAATTGCGCCTTTAATTGTAGATGAGAGTCTTCCGTCTGAGAGGTTGATGGATTACTCGACCGGTTGGGATTTTCTCATAGCAGTTTCGGTGACGCTTTAGTCGGCGAATACATCTGGAATCGGTTCCATGATGGACGCGTGAAATTTCATTATATTTCTAATATATTTTTCACGTTTATTGCTTCATATGTGCGTCGAAAAACTGATGATCATTGGGTATGGTTTCTCCTGCGGCTCGCAGCGTTAGAATTTGTGTTTGCTTTCCGCAGCTGAGCTCAGGAGTTCTATACGAACTGGCTTGAAAGTGACTTGAAACCAATGAGAATTTTTTCATGTTGTCACAGACACATGTAGTTGATCATGTGCACATTTTCCCACAAAGCCTGCAGGTTCACTTCACCGACGAGAAGCATGTCGTCTATGTTGCTGGGAATAACATTGTGAGGTCCATGTCTGTCAATTGCCGTTAGAACTGTCATCCTTCCTCAGGTCCATCTTGAGATAGAGCACCATACGCAAACGTTCCTGCCTACTATCAGCGAAGAAGGAGGGCTGGGGATCTGCTGTACTGCATTGTCGAGTGACAGACGGTGAGCTCCTTTGGTTGAGAGTATCAATTTATGGTATTGCTAGTTTGAAGAATTTACGGTATCAATTTCATACCGTAAATTCTTCAACTCATAATTGGAATTCATTTAGCATTTCCTTGGTTTGCGGAGTGAGCATTTGAAAGTTATTAATTTATTAAAAATACGCCATTACGTCATATGTCATGAATATGAATATCACTGGAGTTTCACCCGTGATATGAAAAAACTAGTGAGAAAATATATTTCATGACTACTGCATATTGCGTTTTTCACAGAGTATTACGCCACTTTCACGTAAAGCGGGTGGAGCTCCAGTGTGTCAAACACGATTAATCCCAACATTATATATCATATTGATAAGGATAATAGATATAGCATTTTAAGGTACCTAGCTGTTGGAGGGCGTCACCACGAGCGAGCTATCATCACTGTGTTCGATCTTGCAAGTTCGAAGAAAGTCAAGACTTTGCAAACCGACGCTGGACTTGAGGACATCGATTGCATGGCGTTCTCTGATGGGGAGGAAAAGTACGTATTATAGATTCACGTACTTTGCCAGACTCCTGGAGTAACCCCGCTGTCGTGGCATTTTCATGGCTTTTGTGGAGTTTGGACGGTTGACCCCCTTGTGAGGTTAGTTGTGTCGTACTTGTAGATATATTGTGGCGTTGTCAACGGTTGCTGCACAAGTAGGCCCACAGCATGCCACACACACAGCATATCAGGAGGCGCCTGCTGACGGGCCCACCAGATCAGGCTGTAAACTGTCTTGCTGGGTGGGGTGGGGTCTCGCGTGTGATTACTTTCTGAGACGCATGTTGTTGGCAGAATTTGGATGCGGAAGAAGAAGGGGTATCATCGAGCGTCGATCTTTTGAGAGGATATCCATCGACAATCAATGCTAAGGTGTTAGAGAAAGAAGTCGGAGCTATGAAAACTCGCTCGAACACTACGGAGTTGTCTCTTGTGTGTGGAATCGGATGATGACGACCAAGAGGATTGATTATTCTTCACGCTATATATTCACCTCATTGGATTTCCATTCAGTGTATCTGCTCACTCGGAAGATAGTTTTGTGGCACGTGATAATTAGTGAGCTTTCCGACACTACTTTTTTCGAAGGCTTGTGAAGGCTCACGTTATATGTATGTTCCCCCTCAGGCGGATCATGTATCATTCTTCAACTCCACTAGAATAGGTGTCACCGGAATCAACTTGGTGGCGGTTTACGAAAGGTCTGATGCTGGAGAGCTGATGGCAGCAGTAAGTTGGGATTAACGGAGTTGGTGATGCATTTGATGATTTCTCTTATGAATGTTGTTTGTATGCAAACTCAACTGCATGTAGGAGATTTCTGCAACGGTCTTCCCAACAGACGTGTATTCCTAATTACTTCCTTAAATAGAGTATTTCTACTCTTATACGCGTTTGATTTCTGTGCTGCGAATCTGTTGAGCAGCTTCTGCAGGCAACAGTCGAGGAGCGCCTCCAGGGTCTACCAGCATCACACCGTAATGCCTCTGGTGAGTTCATCATCACCAACCATTTATGGACTCAGGTGAGGGGACTAGTCAATGATTCGTCTACATGTGATGAACTCATCAGGCTGGCGACATACTCTGCGCTACGGCATTTGGCAACCTTGTTCTGTTTGACCAGCATGGGGTTTTCAAGTAGGGTTTATCGTCGCTGAGAACTCCTTTTGCTCTGGAGAGTGCCAAGTTTCGTTTTCCTCATTATTTTTGCCGTACGGTTCGCTTCGTCCCGAGCTGGCGTGATGGGGTTGAGCTTAGTTTTCATCATCGCTTAGGTGTTCATGGAGTGCTTCCTATCAGGTATTCACTATCGATGGATGCCCCGACTATAAAAGGGGCGTATCGTACGATGATTCCCTGGTCCAGAGGAGGCTTCCTTGCTGTTGGTGAGGACAGTGTAGTGAGGATGCTGAGGAGGAACTCGGATGACATAGATGAGGTTAAAAATTTCATGCAGAAGTCTATGAGCCGCGGTGTTTCAGCCGTATCGTTTGTCCAGAGTATTCACGATTGACCCACCGGGAAAGTTTTTCCGCAGAAATGAAGGTGCGACGAAGAATGCGGCTTCGAACAGTCATATGCATTCGTCAGGTAGTGGACTCTCATCATCGTACGGAGCTGGAAGGAACAGCAAAGTGAAAAGGGATGAATTATCATTTCGTACAGGATGGTGATGCTCCGTTAGGTCAGCCTGATCAAACCTGTGTCGGTGTCTCTGGCACCATCGGAGAATTACCTGGCAGTGATCACTGAGTGCGGACAGTTGCTCTGCGTCCCGCTTCGATCAGTCAGACGTGAGTGCGCTATCAGTAGTGTGGGAATAGAAATTGGTGATGATGGTAGAAATTGTGGAGATTTTCTGGGAAACTTTTATCGGTTTTTTGGCAATGTTTTGCATTATATCGTGTGTAAATTTTCGTGATGTAGTGAGGAAACTCCTGAGATCGAGTGAGAAAAGCAAACTGCTGTAGGGGTAAGGCATGCACTATCTCGAAAGGAAGGTGGTCGGCAAGATGAGAAGTACAACCCGGTTGAACAAATGGCGAACTGGATGCTGTGTAGGGACTATCTCATGTTTATCGCTATCGAGTCCATCGTGTAGGCTCCTTCCACAGTGGGCTAATACTGGGAATGGGCATTTGCGCTCGAAAGCCGATAGTCGCCACTTGTGGAGTTGACAATACGGTGAGATGAAGGATGCTGCTTGGGGTGTTGATCGAACAGCTCAGGTGCGCTTTTGGAACTTTCGAGATCGTCGTTGCGAGCTGGAGCAGTACTTTATGGAAGATGCGTTTTCAATCGCTCTGCACCCAAGTGGGTTACAAGCACTGATTGGCTTCATCGACAGACTTCGGCTGATGGATGTGAGTTATGAGGAAGCGGAGAGGTTCAGTGATCATCAATAGCGAGTTGAAGCTCTAGTGAATGAAAAAATATGCACGCAGTCAACGTTAAGTATTAATGGGGACTGTGAGGAAGCGTCTATTGCATACTACTACTGGTGTGTAGAGATGTGCAGTAGTATCACTGCTGCATATCTTGACAGTCTACACGCAGTGAAGCTACTAGTTGAGCAGACAAAACATATATTCTGAGGTCTAAGTAGACGTAGTTAGATGTCTCATGCAGTGTTGGGAAATACGCACATGGTCGACCAGATGTGTTGGTGCCAATATGAGACTTTTGAGGAAATTTCGGGAAATTCTTGTTGGTTCTTGTACGGTTCTACCCGAAATCGCATAGAAATTTCCATACAAGTGAGGAAATTTTAGAGCGCAGTTGAAGAAAGCCATCATATTTCCTAACACTGCATGCGACAGTCGAGAGATCCTAATTGGCTCTCTTTATTGATAACGTCGAGGTTTGTTATGAGATTGGACTGTCGGCTGATTAGGTCCTGAGGGATGAACTGAAGACTTACAGGGACTTTCCGCATATCAAGAGCTGTAGAGAGTGCCGTTTTAGCAACGGTGGCCATATGTTCGCTGCAGCTTGTGGAAACAGCATTGAGGTTATTAGGGAGCTCATCGACGTTGCCTGTACTTGAGCTCATGTGTAGCACTATTCGTTGGCTGTGGACGAAATTTTAGAGAGAATTAGCCTTTGTATTGCTCATAGGTGGCAGCGCAAGGGGTATATGTAATTTTTTATTTTTTTGTTCACTCATTTCTTCTTTCGGAGAGGCGTTTGCGGATGGTCGTCTCTGCCAGGTCTATAAGACTTACACGTGCGAGCTTCTCTATCACCTGAAGGGACATAACAACAAAGTAAGCAGCTCCCACTGTGATGGCAAGTAGACTTTCCTCTAGGTCAGGACGATCAGCTGGAATTGGGACGATTCGAGATTGGTCAGTGGTGGACTGGATGGCGCTGTGTAAGTGCTTCTGTTCCCACCACGAATCGCTTGTGAGTTAGTTCTCTCTGAATATAGTAGAGCAAGTGATGTCGCTTGCAATGGTGGAGTAGTGAGGGGTCTGTGTGAAGATACGAGTACAACATAGTGGCTGGAGGACAGAGGATATCGGACTGGGTGAATAAGACTCTCTTGGTATCTTCAACTGCGGTCTGGACGGAAATGTCAACAGAAACTGAGAAGGGACCGCTTATGTTCGGCTTGCCGGTCACTCGCGTGTAGTCTGGTCGACGGTTTCGCAGTGGACTGGTTATAGTCTCTCCTAGGTACGTTGTTGGTAACACCAAGAGCATTCGGGAGGTTTACTGCTCACAACTGCAGAACACTATTGGAGAGGAGTCGCCCTGTGAAGAGAATGGATGTGCGGACTCGGTCAACTTGGGTCAAATCTGTGTGGGAGCGAGTGAGGCTCTGCTCTTATGGGCTGCGTGGATGATACGCGATTGACAGGCACGAGGATGATGTTTGTGAGCACTTCATCTCCGAATTCTAGTGAAGACGGTATGAGACTCTCTATGGCGCTGCGGAAAGATTCCAACTCAGGTCGGGGAGGTGCTATCCGCTGCTATAGGCTTCCATCCTCGGAGGATGACCCTGCTGGAGATGACCCGGCATCATCGGACTCGAACGCTAATGCCAAGTACTCTGGCTTGCTCTGGCTGTGATCATCTCGACTCGCGGTTTCACAATGCAGTATATATTTGCTGAGAATTCGCGTCGTCATTCATCAGACTCGTTTTATGGATCCTTATTCAGTTTCTTGGAGTATCCATGCCACTTTGGAGAGGTGACGAGGATGGCGATATCCGATGATGAGAGGTAAGGCTTGTGTGGGGCCACTATCGGTTGGTAGGTACATGGTCACTCTCCGTCTGACAGGCTGATCACTTCTCCTCGCTGGCTCTGCTGTCGTGGCAATGCCGTTGTCTCAGGTTGTTGTTCACGTGTGGAGAGGACGGTTGCGTGTATGTGTTTGATATATGGTTGGTTCGTCATGGTTAATCTCAATAGTGTAGATTTATATTCAGGGATAAGAGCAGGCTGCCGGTCGCCGACGGACTGGATGGGATGTCTGAAGCGGCATATGAGGAGCGAAACATGCCGTGAGCTCCATTGGCCTTCTTGCGTTTGTTCATCCGGAGCGCGTTGGTTCCCTCGTGCGCTTGATCGGGACCAGACCGTCACGCCAGGGTCTCTGCGTTTCATTTGAATAGATAGAATGCGTCTATTAGGAAGCTTCTCCTTGGAAGCGCGATGAGAAATTGTGTTTCTTGCCTCCCTGGGAATCCGAATTAGTTTCCTCGAGGGAATATGGGAGGATTCTGTATTATGCTCCAAAGCGATTGCTAGTGAAAGCTTTCCAATTGCCGTAGGCTCGTACTTGACTTGTCCGTTGTGAAGGTACTCAGATGAGGTGCTGGTGACCAAAGCTGGTTTGGAAGAGCAGCGTCACCTCCGTAAGGACCTCAAACGCCAAGTCGATGAGCTGACAACGCAGTCAGACTATCAGCTACGTCAGAGGTGAGGAGGCTGGCTTACGGCTCACGAACAGGTTATCATAGGGAGGTGTACCATGCTGAGAGGATCGCCGAGATGGAAGCGAAGTTTCAAGAGGCCCTGAAACTGAAGAAAGAGAAGTACGGCGGTGGTGTCGAAAACAATAGGCGTCTCATTTCCTCCTTGGTTGGTCGGTCGCTGCAGACTATCGG